AAAATTCAAAATCATACCACATTTTTTGGAAACCCAGAAAATTTCATCCCATCATACCCATTAGGGAAAAACAGGGGAAAATTTCCCATACATCATACCACATTTTTTGGAAAACACACAGAAAATTTCATACTTTCATCCCACAGGGGGGAAAACCAAAGAAAATTAAAATCATACCAATTAGGGAAAACACACAGACAACATACTTTCATACCCCCCCTTAGGGAAAAACACACAGGCCCTTTTAAACCCAATCATCCCCACATTAGGGAAAACACGGGAAAAATTCCCCTACATCAAAACCCACATTATGAACACACGGGGAAAATTTCCCAACATATCCCCAAAATTAGGGGAACAAAACCAATTCATACATCTCCCACATTAGGGGCACAACGGGGCGGGGGGTTTTAAAAAGGCCAGGGGGGGGGTGGGGGGTGGGGGGGTCTAAAAGGGTGGGGTTTTGTGGGGTTTTTAAATTTAAAAGGCGCGTCCCCAATAGGGACACGTTTTCGGGAACCAGGGCCCAGATCCCCAGTGTTTTTTAAATATCTAAGGGTTTTTCTACGGGGGGGTTTTTTTTAACTGGAATATAAGAAATAGAACCCCCCCCCCCCCCCTCCCAAAACAACCCCCCCCCCCCTAAACAACTTTCAGAAGGGGAAAGGGGAAAAGCCCGGAGGTCGGGAAAAAAAACAATGGTTTTTTGAAGGGAGTTTGCCCGGGGGATTTTTTTGGAAAATTTGTTTTAAGGGACATTTAGTATGAAAAATTTTTTAATTTTTTTTTTGGTTTGGGCCCCCAAAAAAATTTTAAAAAAATTTTAAAATTTTTTTTTACAAACCCCCCGGAAATGGCCCCCTTCAAAACAAGCCCCCCTAAAACACTTGGGAAAAAACCATGTTCCATTAAATTTTTTTTTAAGGGGTGGTTAAACGGGGGGTTTTTAAGAAAAAAAATTGCCCCGGGACGGGGGATTTTTAGGGGGGTAAAAGTTTCGTGGGGAAAAACCCCATGTTGGGAATGGAAAGGTTCGGGTGGGGTTTTAAAAAAAAAAGGGGGAAAAAAAAGGGGGGGGAAGGGAAATGGCCCGGGGGGGGGGGAGGGGGGAGGGGCCCAAAACCCCAAAATTTTTTCCAGGTTAAACCCCGGGCGGGATTGGGGAAAATGTGGGGAAATTGGGAAAAACCCCAGAATTCTCCCTTTAACTGCAGGGGTTGGATGGGAGAAAACCCAAAGGGCTTCCAAAATTAAAAACTGGGGGTTTTTTTTTTTGGATTGGCCCCCCCACAGATATTTAAGGTTTTAAAACTGGCGGATTTGGATGGCCCCAAAAAACACCGATATCCCAGCTTTAAAACGGGGGGGTTTTTGGAGGGGCCAAAACAACAGTTTATCTTTTGTTAAAACTGGCGTTTTGGGGAGGGCCCAAAAAAACAACAGTTTATTCCCCCCCCAAAGTTTAAAACCCTGGCGGTTTTGGGTGGCCAAAAAAAACCATTTTCAAACCCAAAAAACAGTTTTGGTAAAAAAAACAGTTTATCTCCAGCTTAAACTGGGGGGGAATTTTTTGGGATGGGCCAAAAACAAAAAAAGAAAATTCCCCCAGCTAAAACGGGGGAGGATTTGGAGGGCCCCAAAAAAAAAGAAAATTTTCCAAACTTGTTAAAAATGGGGGATTTGAGGGGCCCAAAAAAACGGGATATCAGTTGGGGGAGGCCAAACCCCCAAAAACAAACAGAATCTCCAGTTTTAAAAGGGGCGGTTTTGGGAAAGGGGGCCCCAAAAAAAAAACAGAAAGAATTTTGGGGTTTTTAAATGGCAGATTTGGATGGCCAAAACAACAGATATCTCCAGCTTAAACTGGCGGATTTGGATGGCCAAAACAACAGATATCTCCAGCTTAAACTGGCGGATTTGGATGGCCAAAACAACAGATATCTCTAGGTTAAACTGGCAGATTTGGATGGGGATCTTTTTATCATGTTACTTATGTCCACTCTAGGGGTCAGTGTATAGGATGTATTATACAAGAGACTAAATTCACTAGTTCTACAACACAACATGTATTTTATTCGATCCAGTTGATAAAGGAAGGTAGAGTTGAGAGTTCCCATTGGTTCAGACAGTCACATGGTCAGTACAGAACCATGTAGAGAGTTCCCATTGGTTCAGACAGTCACATGGTCAGTACAGAACCATGTAGAGAGTTCCCATCAGTTCAGACAGTCACATGGTCAGTACAGAACCATGTAGAGAGTTCCCATTGGTTCAGACAGTCACATGGTCAGTACAGAACCATGTAGAGAGTTCCCATCAGTTCAGACAGTCACATGGTCAGTACAGAACCATGTAGAGAGTTCCCATCAGTTCACACAGTCACATGGTCAGTACAGAACCATGTAATCAAACTAAACTGATCCTGAGAACAACAGTTGTCTGCACACGCTGAGTTTTCTCATTAAGAACCATGTGGCTCACACACACACACACACACACACACACACACACACACACACACACACACACACACACACACACACTGAAGGGACTGGACACTGGTTCTTACCTGTACAGGAGGGGGGCTTTCGAGTTGCCATGGTGAGACAGACAGAGTTGTTGGTTTAGACTAGAGTGAAGCGTCCTGTGTGTTGTGTTCAGAAGATAGTGTCCAGGCTTAGTGCTGTAGCTAGCAGCAGTTAGGGTTAGAGGGTGTTAGGTTGAGGTCTGGGGCTAATTCCCTGCCAGGAGATTAATGACTGTCCTTCTGTTCTGTTCTGTTCTGTTCTGTTGAGGTTTAGGGGATCTAAACGCCTGCAATGGCTGCTTCATAATATGGCCCCTAACTAGGTTCTATATAGAACCATTCTAACGGTCAGAATGGGCCATCAAAACTGGTTTCATCACTAACAGACACATTATTTTTTTCTCAATTTTTTCTGTCATTTAGCGACTCTCCCCA